AGAAATAATATTAAATTCACTTTTCATATAGTTTTTATTATTTTTTCGTAAAAAATTTTAAAACATTTAAAACAAATAAAATTTAATTTACTTTTATTATCATTATTTAAAAAATTAGAATAATAATAATTAATTTTGTTTTATATAATTTTAATAAGTAGTAGAATATTATAAAATTCTTATATAAATAAATAAATAAACAAAATAAGGAAATAATTTCATTCAATATTTAAAAAGGGTAGTAAGAGGAATTATTACTAAATGTTATGGTCTTATAAGTTTTAATAAAAGTTAAAGGATTATCTACACCAGGAATGATCCATTAATAGAACTGTAAATAAAAATAAATACTTTAAAAAGTACTTTAAGAGGGAATAATAATAGTATTCAACTTAAAATTAAAATAAAAGCCTCTAATTTAACAAAAGTTACTAGCCTTAAAATAAATTTAAATTTTTTTTTAGAGAAAAGTAACTATAAAAAAATTCTTTAATATAATGTAAAATGGTATAATATTTATAATTAATTATAAAAATTACACATTCCAAATTTTATTTTAGAAATTGGGAATAGTCTAAAGAAAAATTTTTAGTAAAGGTGTAGATTAGTACAATCTACACAATATAATTTTATAATAAAAGGAGTTAACTTTAATTTTATATTATATAAAAGCTAAATTTTATACCAGGATAAAAGGGTTAGCCTTAATCCTAAAAGAGGATGTAGAAGATGGGCGCAGAATTGTAATTAACGTCTTACATGTTTGTAAAAAAAAATAATAATACACAGCAATTGAAAAAAATATATTTTAATTTACCGAAGATACTGCAGAAGAGCCGAAAATATATGGAAACTGTTTGCATAATAACATGAGAGCAACAAAAGTAGCTGAAACGTCTCCAGCGCAGAATACTTGCAGAAATCAATAGCATAAAGAATAAGGAGTTCAACTTTTTCGGTGTTGCCGTTACTAGAAGCTTCCGTTACTTCATTATAAAATTTTCTACCTACAGATATTATATATTCCTTATTTAACAAGTATCTACACACCAAAGAATTACATAAATTGGTAAAATCCCCGCTATTAATATATAACTAATGACTTCGATTAAAGAAAGTTTATATTATTTAGTAATGATATTACTTCTTAAAAAATCACTGTTAATATTAGTATAGCCACGAAAGAGAGAAGAAGATTCAGCTTCGACCTTGATCTTTTTACGAGTTTCCGTTGATTTTTTGGTGGAGTTACTTCGCTTACCTTAGTAGTGTAAAGGAGTATCATAAAAACGTTTTTAATATTATTTTACTCACCAAGTGCTAAATCTAAACCTTTTGATAGCTCACTGCTCTTCTTATCCGTCATAACTAAATATAATTTCCAGTAAATTCATTTATATTTATATAAAAAACATCGAAGGTCAGTAATATAGTAATATATAACATATAGTGTTTTTAGAGTAAGGGAGAAGCACTGAAAGGGTTTTTAAATGAAGCGTACTATTATTCCGACAAAACTTTCATGTAAAAGTAATTATGAGAAGCTTAATTAAAGACCTAACGCAAAGTTCACAGTTTGTAAGTGCACAAGGTGAAACTTAATAATTGAAAGGATTCAATACTTTTAATTCTTTTTAGCTCCAAAAAGAAAGGCATTTATTGTTGTTTAGTGAGGTAAAAAAGCAAACACAGACAATTAGAGATTATATATATAATAACACGCAACTTTGTATTAGAACCAAGCCCACATTAGCTTTAAGTGTAATATTATTTTTACATTTAAAAAGGAGCACATCATAGGAAAGCAAACGCAAAGCTAATATATGACCGGGTCAGTTTTATAGGAAAGAACTATATTAATAGCTTTTAAACCTTCTTCTATAGTTATTACAATTAAATTTTTTTTTTATTCGTTTTGTTCATAGTAATTTTAAAAAACTTTATTAATACTTCTTAATCCATCGAGAACAATTGCTCTTCAGAAGACCATACTAAACAGTAAACAATCAGTACTTCATTTTAGTTTGAGAAATTAGTCGCATTCCTTTATCGTAGGTTGCTTAATATTACAAACTAGTCTCTTTTTAACTGTCCTTATAATCATTACAAAGTGAGGCAGCAAAGTTAAAAAGTGGAATAACTTCACAAACTAGTGAACATTATATATTTTAAACCTTTGCAAAATCCTTTTTAACAAAAACAGTGCTAGAGCCCAAACTAGTTTTTTTAATATTTATAATTTTTTAAAAAAACTTAATTATACTCGTTAATATAAAAGGTTAACAACTCAAATCTCCTTTTCTTATTTAATTTTAAGGCTTATAATGATCTATGAATGGAACTTTGTTGCATACACTCTTTTTCCAGTTCCGAAGTGATAAAAACATTAACCAGAAACCACGATGCCCCTGGGTTTGTACAGGATAGCTTTGCTGTATTAGTTTCTCTTGAAATTGTTTTAAAACTAAATACTGGACTGCCAGTTTTTAAATTATCGACTATATAAAATATTTTAAATGTGAACACTACTTATTTTTAAGATCTGAGGAAGACGCTTAACCATAGTTACCTCCATTATTATGATCTGTACTCATAACTATTACCTCTTTTTTAATTACAAGTCAACACACCTTTCTTATTTCTTATGTATACTTTAACTTTTGCGTTAAACATACTAACAATTTATTTTTTTTATCTCAAGCGTTTAAGCACTTTTATCTTAACGAAGGCACTTTTATGGCCCTTTTAGTTTTAATTTGTTGTTTCAATGATCCTTATAAGTGGCTTTCTAAAAACTTTTTAGGTAGCATATCTTTTTACTCTTTTTACTAATTACAATAATGACTCGGCACGGTGACATATAATTTTAGCATTCTTATTGTTGCTCGCCTCCTCTTTAACTTCTCTGAGTTCCAAGTTATTATTCCGCTTCAGGTGACTTTATTACTTTAACTTTTTTCTAAATTTACTGTTCCTTTTCTTTTTTTTTTCTTATAAAGTTATCGTCATCTAACAAAACTTAACTTTAAACAGTAATATTCTAGTTGAAGTAATATTATATAACTTAATTTATAAATATTAGAATTTTTGGTAACAATTTATTTTATAATTGAATCTTTAAAAAAAGTTCAGATAGTTTGTTTATCTAATATTTACTTATGTTATAGCTAAAGTATAATTTATTACTTAAATAAATTAAGTTTTTAATAATTATAATTCTAAGGTAGAGATTAAATTATAAGTACTCTGGATTTTATATGTTTGTATAAAAGTTAACTTGTGCTTGCTTTAACTTATAATTGATCATAATTTTATTTTACGTTCGGGTTCTTTTACAGGAACATCAAGTAACTTACTTTTAAGATAGATTTTAAAATTTCTACAAGTTTTTTTTTACTTCGGAAACTTAAAAATTTCTTAAAAATTTTAATTTTACTATATATTTTACTGCAACACGTGTATGAAAACTTTTATCCAAAAAATTGTATTTAGTTTCAGTAAAAAGTATATATATAATCTCTATAGTCTCGTAACTATGATTTTAGCGGTTAAAGTAGATCATAAAAAACTATATAATTTTTATTTAATTTTAATTATATGATTACTAATTAAAAAATCAGCGAAAAAAATTATTATTTATAAATAATTTACGTGAAGCAGTGGGTATTTCTTTAAATTTATTTTTAGAAATGCGAGTTCTTCTTTTGTTCTTGGCTCCTTGTTACTTCCCACTTTTCTTTTAAAATTAAAAAATTTTCAGTATAACTGCTTTGAACAATACGAAGGTTTCTTTTTTTTAATGTATATATCTATTATTTTTAATAATCTATAAAAGATTTAATAGACTTTTATGGTTGGATTAGTTTGCTTCAGAGTTTCCTAATTCTCTATGAGATGAACATCTATAATTTATATATGAAGTATAAAGAAAAGTATGTTCTAATTCATTTTTGGTATAAGTAATGTATAAAACTTTTGCACTTCTGAAGATCTCAATTTCAAACAGTCAAGGAAATTTTAAATCTTTCAATCCTCATGGTTGGATTATTTCTTTGTTTTTATTCTGGTACGCTTATTAAATAATATTTAACTTTTTAACTTTTTTTTGTAGGATCTAGAATTACCTGATTTTTTAATTTTTAAAAAATTTTGTAAAGGCTGCTTATTATTAATTTACTTATTAACTTTTTCCTGCTGTACTTGTTTAAATAATATTAAATTTTTTTAGTTAATTCCTGTAGATGTTAATTTTAAAATATTTTTCAGCATTGGGAAATAATCCCTTTTTACATTTTTAAATCTATTTTTATTTTATAATTTAAAAATGTTTCTTGGGAAACCTATACTTTATTTTTAAGTATTATTGTGTTGATTGTACTAAATATTATTAGATGAAAGCTTCTTCCTTATTCGAGACTTACAGTTTATTTATTATTATTAGTATAACAACTTATAATTTACTTTTTATAAATTTCCTTTTAATAAATTTATCAGATTTTTTAAATTAATTTTATTACAAAAATTTTTTATTTATAAACTCATTAGTCCAAAAAAATAGTTTTAAAAAATATTTATAGATTTGCTTCGGTTTTCTTGTTGTAAATTAATTTTGTATAATTTTCTCCATCTGGAATTAATTTTTAGAATTTTTATCTATTTATTATTTTTTATAATTATATATTACATATAAACAATTTGTTTTTTTATTATTGACAGTTTTACTTTTTTATTAATCAGTAAGTCTGTTTTTAAAATTTTCAATGGCATTTTAGTTTTTATTAAATTTTAAAACGTTAAAAATTTATTAAAGCTTTTTTTATTTTTCTAATTCATTAAAAACTCTTTTTTGTTTATAACCACATTTAATTAAAAAGATTTTATAATTAGAAATTTTATTGAATCCTTCTAAGTATACAAAACTTATTTTTTTTTTCAGTAAATTAAGAAATTAGTTTTCATCTACCTGAATCACATCTGCTTTAGGTGTGCCCTTCCTTCAGCCTCTCGGGCTTGTTACTACCTTTTTGTTACTGATGATTGTTATTGGGATCCATTTTCTTTTAATTGCTACAAAATGTTCCCTGAATTTCAGTGCAGGCGAAGTCCTTTTGGTTTCCCAGTTACTCAGTTTTCCTCTTTTGGAATTTTTTTTTATGGCCATCAGTAAAGTAAATTTTTATAATTTTAGATTTTTAAAATGTTTTACGTTTTTTTAATGCAAACTTCATACTTTAAATATTTTTTCTATAATATTTATTTTGCTTTACTCTATATTCATTTTGCTTTATAATTTTTTATAATACTAAGCGATTTGCTAATTTCTTTAATGTTTATGTGATTTCTATATATATATATATTAAAAATACTTCAATAGTAATATCTACAATAATAAATAAATGTGAGTAAAAATGTGCTTGCGCAATTTTACTTGTCACTGGTCTCTCTTTTCTTTTTGGTTGGTCGTTTATGTTATACTTTTTATATAAAAATATATTTTTTATATTTAGTAAAGAAAATATTATTTATTTTGCATTTTATTTTAAACGTGTGCAAACCCATTCTTATAAAAAAAACCTAAATAAGGAACTTCTCCATGAATAACCTTCTATTGACTTTGTTATAAAACTTTTATAATATAATAAAACTTTGCACTTTTATTAACTTTTTCTATATTGCTTCAGTATAATTAATAATTGTCTTTTACCAGCTTCTTGGTTTTTTCCTATAATAATTACTTTTGTAGGTCTCAGTAAACTTTATAACAATTTTTTTAATATAATACTATTTTACTGTAGTGATGTTTTTATAATAATAAAAAGAAACAACTTTTTTGCTAACTAATTTTTATAATAAATAGTTTATACTGATGATTTATATTGCTGTTTTGCTTAATATATCCATATTCACTTTATATTGTATCAGTTACGGAGTTATTTGGTCAAAATTAAATTATATAATCGTTTTTCATTAAATTTATGCGTCGATCTTTTGCATTTTTGGTATCTTTTATTATTCGGTTACTTTTAAATTTAAACTGTACACACTTTTGCTATTTTTATATAACTTTATTTTGACACTTAGTTAAGCTATTTGCAACATTCTGTCTTCACGGTGGCAAGAAGCGACTTTTTTGTAGCCAATATCGCCCTGATAGCTATTACCATTCTGATTGGCCTACTGCTTGTTCCTATTTATTCAAGCTTCTCGAGTTCTTCGGTTCTTTTTTTTTATATTTTTTAAGCGCATATATTATTTTTATTTTCCTTACTAATACTATTTTCTATATTATTTATTTATTAATTTTTTTAGTTTTCTATTTTATTTTATCTGTTTATTAGCCTTTTTTCCTGCGCTCTTCTTGTTTGTGCTCCACTTTGTTCGGGAAAAAGCGTAGCGGCGTTTGTTTTAATATTTCTGTTCAACGAGCGGCCTCGATTGGTTTATTTGTTTGTCCTTCTTACTCTGACGTTGGCTGGACTGCTTGTGTTTGAACTGGATATTGGCAGTATTTTTAAATATATATATACTTTATTTTATTATAAAAACTTTTTTTTATATAATTTCGTTATTATTATGATAAAAGTTACATATATATAGTTAATAGTTTTGTTTGTATATTTTTGATAATGAGAAGTTAGTAATAACCATCGTTATAAAGCCCAATATTATTTATTATCAATAATTATCTTTGTAAATTTTTCACAATATTATTTATTGTTAATATTTACTTTGTGATAATATTTTATATGTAGATATTAAAAAAAGCATTCCCTCTATTATCTTACGAAAGTACTTCCATGCTCTTGCTGTTGTAGTCTTTTCTACTGGTATTTTTTTAAGTTTATTAAAAACTTTTTTGACTATATTTACTTTATAATACTTGTAATAAAGAAAGCAAAACATTTTTATATTTATTTATTTTTCTTATAAGAAAAACTTTATTTCTAATAAATGTGTAAACAATGATTATTTTTTAATAAATATTTTTCGAGAGTACTATTTAAAAAGTTCAGTCAAACTTTTTTATGTAGATTCTTTTATTTTTGTGAAGTTTTCGTGCTTGCATGATTATGTTTCTATTGATATATTTTCTGATATTATTCTCAGGAGGCTTTTACTATTACTATATTTACTTTATTTATTGATAGGAGGATCGTAAAGCGTCTAATAGAAATAATAAAAAATAAATAAACACTTACTTTATTATAAATATATAAAGTTTAAATCTGGAATAAGTATGATAGTAACAAAAGTAATAATAAAGTTTATAACACTCATATATATATAAAAGGAACTAATATTATAAATAATAAAAGAAATAAATATAAAAGTAAATGAAATAACTGCACTAAAAAGTAAATACAATAAAAAAATATAAAAAATAAATATAAATGTTAAAAGAATGGAATTAACTATAATATTCAATAAAGAAATATTTAAGCGTAAATACAAGTACTGTATAAACTTAAACAAAACATAAATAATAATATTAAAATAAATAAAAGAAAATCTACTAAGAAACAATAATGTTATTATAAATATAATAATATAAACAATAAATATAAAAGCGTATAAAATAATAATAAATTTATTATAATATTATTTATATTATGAATATTTTTTTCATAATATTTCTTTTTTTAATTCATTATAAGAAGGAATTTATTTGGACGTTGATTTACTTCGCCTTTCCTTCACGGTTGCGCTCTGCGGCTTTCTTATTATTGAGTATATTCGAATATATAAAGTTTCCCCCCTTTGTTACTTTTTTGAGGTTTTTATGTAATTCTTTATAATACTTTTTTTATTTTTTTATTTTTTATTTAGAATTATTATAGCCGTTATACAGATGAACGTGATCGCAATAAAGTTTTTATAGTAACGCATATACATTTACTTTTAGGTTATTTAAAAAAATATATATTTATTTATTCATATTATATTTTTTTCAATGTATTATTATTATTACAAACTGAATTTTTTTTATAGCCAATGCTATTCCTGTGTGGCTTTTTCATAATCACTCCTGTTTGTTGTATACACAAACTTTGTTTGCTGGAATTATTACTGTCGGAATTGGTTTTATTATTATTCAGTTATTATTACTACTATTATTATTACTTCTTCAGGTGATTCTGCGGCTGCTTCTTTCGGCACGCTTTATGGCAATCACTATTGGAAAAAAAATTCAAGGTATATTTTTTTATTAATTTATTAATTCATAAATTTATTTATATATTATTACTACAGAAAAACTTTGGAAGGAACTTTTGCGTCTATCGCTCTGCAACTTTTGTTTTGTTTTCTTCTCTTTTTCTTCACGCCAAGCTTTTTTCTATCTGCCAGTGACGTGGTCATTACGATTGTTTCTGTGCTATTAACGAGCGCTATGGAGGCTATCACAGAGCAATTGGATAATATTATTCTTCCGCTTTTCTTTATAACAGCAATGGCCTCGTTTTCTATGAGCAGTACGTGCTCATCGCAATAAACTTTTAATAAACTTTTTTATATTCTTTGCGTATATATAAGAAGAATCTGCTTTTGGAGTTTTTTCTAATATTTTATTTTTTTTCAGCTTATTATAACGTTGCGATATTTTTTAGTTTATTATGTTACTGGACTTTAGTTATAGGCGCTCGCCAAATGAATAAAATTTTTAAATTTACACCATTTTGGGTTTTTTATATATATATAAAAAATTAATATATTGGTCAAGCCGTAAATAAAAGACCATTGACTATTTTTTTATGTAACAAAGCTCTTTTTAAATCTGCTCCGCTCCACCTATAAATCCGCTTTACCATAATAATTCATTACTATTTTTATGTTGGTGCACTAAACATAAAGAAACTCAAAGAAAAAGTATTTTTTTATAGTAAAAAAAAAAGTTAAACTTTTTCTCTTAGTAAATCAATGCTTAACTAGCCTTTTACTGTAGTGTGTTTTAGTAGCTTTAGCCATCACTCTTGTAGTACATATAATAGTACAGTTTCCCTATCTCCGAGACCCTAAGTAAAGCTAATAGCATAGGACTGGCGATATATAGTTGCTTTGCGAAGCAGTTTTATAGAAATGCTGCGTAAATATTAATAACTTTCCTCTTAAGCAATGTTGCAATTTTTTAGTTTGAAGAAAAACAAATTCTAAGAGGATATATATATATATTATCTACAGTCTTGGCTACTCACAGTTAACCTTTTCCAAAAATATTCAGTATTTTAAAAAAGTTTTCTCTCTTTACTTGTTGCTCTAATAAACAATTGTCATATACTGTTATGACTTATAATAAGAAATTTTGATCTTTACATAACAATTTGCTGCTGCCTTGACTATATTAAAAGTTTCACTTGATGTTTTATTTTTTTGATACTTCATTAGTATAATATACAAGCAATTTAATGTTTATAGCTTTGCTTCAGTTCAATTAACATATTTAAGCACGCTCACAAACATTTCGCTTTAGACATACCTTAATAACTTACTTAACTGCTTATATTTTTGGTTAATTATCAGTACTTAAGCTACATTATAATATTACTCGAATTACTGTCTTTTGGTAAAATAAGTTTTATCTAAGAAAATAACTAAATAAGGAATTTTTACTCCAAATTAGTTAATAGTTTCCTTATTGACTTTTCCATATTTTAATTTAAGATCATCAAAACTATAAAATAAAAGACAACATCTCATTTAATATTATATTATTTTGTAAGGGGGTATTGCAAAGTTTTTCTAAAATCTGACTCAGCTAAACTGAAATTTTTCATACTAAATAGTATTTTAAAACATTGCAGAGTTATTTATGTAACTTAAGTAATGAAAACAATTTTTTTGGTTGTATTATATTTGAAAACAATCAGTGCGATTGATCTGATTTTTGAAGTGAAAATTATACATTGTTATAATATCCTTTCGGGATCGCAGTCAGAGTGTACCATCAGTTTTTTCAGCGTTTTTTGATTAGGTATTTCAGAGTTACCGAAAACAGCACATGCACAGAATTATATTTTTTAAAATGATGTAAGCCATGTCGGAGGCGAGGGCTCTTCTTGCTTTGTTCTGCTTTGGTCATGACTTTCTCGGATAGTTTTGAACTGGATAAACTTTCAGTTCAGCAATTAAAGGAGATAATAAAGTCGGCTAATCTTTCTTTTGAAGGTTGCTTAGAAAAGCCTGAACTTTTGAATAGAGCTAAAAAGGCTGTGGCCGTCATTCAGGACTTGTCAAAAGATATATCTTCTGCAGCAGTGGGTGAAGGATTTCAAAACTTGCACACAGAGCTAAAGCTTTTTGGGAGCTATAATTGTATAGTTGCTGGTATAACATTAATTGTTTTTATTAAAAAAAGCATATATACGTTTGTTATGTCCGAAAACAATGTTTTATCACGATACTTATTTATAATTTTTTTAAAAAAAAGTGGAAAAATCAAAAAGTTTAATCAGTAAGGTTGACGGTGCTGTTATTATGCTTCATGGTTTTCAAGCAAAAAATATCGGATTATTACCTTTTGCAAACGAATTTTATTTACACCAAAAAACTAGTATTGCTGAAGATAAAAATATAATCTTTGTATTCCCTCAAGCTCCAAGAGGGGGTGTTATATTTTTTATCTGTTATATATTAAAAAAATTTATAAAGATTTTATCTTTTTTAGGCCTTTTAAATGTTTCTCAGTGGTGGGAGATTGATTTAGTTAAGTGGCTTAACGCCGCTAACGGAGATCAAGCTGTACTGGTAGAATTTCTATTTCTGATTAATTTTTTTATATTGTGTTTATACAAAATTTCTTTATTTATTTGTTCAATCAGAATTTTATTATTACTCTATAATAATTATTTTTACGAACTTTTTAGGCAAAGTTGCTTCGGGAAAGGCCAGAGGGTCTGGCAGTCGCAAGGAAAAATTTAAGTTTGCTTATGGATCAAATTTGCGATAAGTATAATTTAATTTCTCACGAAAATCTAGTTCTTGCAGGTCTTTTGTTTATAATATAACACTTTCTTTTATTAATTTTTTTTTTTTAGGATTTAGTCAAGGAGCAATCACTGTTATGGATGTTGCTTTAGATAGACTAAATAGTTATATTGCTGATGAGAAAAGGTAAAGTAAAATTAATATTTCCTTTGAATTAATTTTTTTTTAATTATCATACTCGGCAGCGGTGGGCCTCCTGCTGGAATCACAATGCTTAGCGGGGCACCAACTGTTATAGAGGAGTGGAGTGCAGTACTGAAGAAGTATACAGATTTGGTGAAAAAGATGAATAATAACAAAAAGGTTAATACTTTTGTAGTTGCTTAAATAAATAATCATTAATTAAAATTTTAAAGCTATATTTGTTTTATTTTAAATTTATTGAATTGTTTTATTAATTTTTATTATATTAAAATTGTAATTATTAAATCAATTTAGTATAAAAAATTGAAAGTTTTTATTTCCCACGGCCTGCTTGACCCTGTTCTTCCCTATGTTGTTTCTGGTATTATAAATTTTTAAAATAAATTAATGTTTTAAGATATTTATAATTAAAAGTCGTAGTTTTACTATTTATTTAATAAAATAGATTTTAAGGCTTCGATTCGATGAAAAGATTTGTTAAAGAAATTTTTTAAAAATTTTAGTAGAAAATCTATTGCTGATTATTTTGCTTATTAATTTTAATTCATTAACAAAGCATCATATTTTATAGTTTTTCTGTAAGTTAATTATATGTGCAATCGAATTTAGGATGGACTAAATCACTTTTAGAGCAAACACCTGACGTTGTTGAGCTTCAGTACGTTTCTCACAATGAAGGTACTTTAAAATTTGAGATGATTTTTTTTAACAAAAATATTTTTTAGTATTATAGAACTATTATAAATATATCAAAATTTATAATTTTAAGAAAATATTATAAGAAACTGAAGTTATTGAGATGATTTTTAGTTTATAATTGTCCGCTGCTGCCTTTTTTAGAAAATTTAGGAAATTTATAAAATAATTATTTTTGAATGGCTTATTTTTTTGAGAATCGGCCGTTGTCGTGCATTTTTTTATATAATTTATTTTATTTTTATAATGAAGGCCACTCTTTTGGATGTGCAGAGACCAAGAATAAAATCTTTTCATTTTGGCTTGATGCGCTGATTGGCGCTTGTTAACCAGAATTAAATTAAATTAGCTCAAATAATAAATATTTTACTTTTGTAATCTTTGCTAGTTTTGATTATTTTGCATTTAGTAAAGATTAAAACTTTCGAAACAGAAAAGAAAATTTTTTTTAATTAATTTTGAAAAAAACCAATACTAAAAATAAAGATTCTAAAATTTTTTGGTATTACGAAGATTTTAGTAATTTTTTTTGTAAAATTTATTATTAATTATAGTAAAATTAAATATTGGAAAATAAGAATTTTCACCTAAATAATTTTTGTTAGAGCTTAACGCCAAATGAATCTAAAATCGATTTTTTATTTAAATCGTTAAAGTTGTTAACAGCGAAGAAAGATTTAAAAAACAGAACCAGGCCCGCTGCATTTCATTTTCTTAAAATTATTTTTCAATTTAATAATCGACACCAATAAAATTCAGCGCCTTAACAGCAGTTTCGTAACCTGAAAATAATATTTAAATACTTACAAAAAAAATTAATTTAAGGAATCAAAGAAACCAAAAAAGCAGGCGGCGTTAGCGGGAAAAGCGCGAAGGACAACGGGGATCAGCCCTCTGTACAGCGCAAGAGGGCCGTCCGTTCGGATCATCTCGACGAAAACGCTGCGCATTCCATTAGGGTACTTCGTAAGCGGTGCGATCTGCCGAAAAAGTAGTTATAAGTCGGTCGTTGTCCCTTTTATTTGATAATAATAATATTATGTAGAATTTAAATTTTTAAATTGACTTTTAATAATAATTATAAATTAAAAAATAGTTAACCTGTTAAAGGAATAGTATTCATTCAGAAATTAAATTAAATTAAGTTGTAATAATAATAAATTAGAAAATAAATTAACTTATAGACAAATAAATCCGCCGCACTGAAGTTAATTTTAAATTTACTAAATAATTTATAAACCTGTAGTTTCGATTTAAGGGTGTCAATAGGTAAAACAGTGATCCAGTACATAATTCCTGCGAAACCGCCAGCTATGAGCGTCCCTATAGCAGTGGGCCTGATTATTTTATAAAAATCGAGTTTACAGTATGAATTTACAGTAGTTTTTACTTCGTATTATTAATAAATACTTCAAGCAAATCATATTTAAAGAAATAAAGAATTTATTATAATATTAATTGACATTGAAAAAAATAAAGATCTATTAGTAAGTCTTTTAAGGAATTAAAAAAATAATTAAATAGATAAAAGACAAAATATAATAGCATGAAATTACTAATATAAAATTTTAATTATTTTTTAAGATCAAAATAAGCGATAAGAAAAACAATATACTTTTAAATTCGTAGCAATTAAAAAAGAATATATGTTAGCTGTGGAATAAGCGAAAAGAAAAATATAAATTTAGATCCTAAGTAAATTTAGAATATCTGTTTCTTTAATAAATTATTTAAATTGTGACTTGCGTCAGTTGCCATAATTAACAGTAGTGCAAGTCTACAATAATTTATTGACTTAAATCTACTTACAACAGTAGTGCTGTATTAAATTCTATACCAACTGCCAGAGGAACCAGCATTTATGAGACTTATATATCTTATTAGTATTCTCAATCTTTTTTTAGTTAATAAGCTTATCATTTAGTTAAAGATGATTAACTAATTTAATAAGTATATAGTAAAATGCTCACCCATTTCCGTTTGCGGGAGTAAAAAAGTTTTTTAAGTACTCGTAAGTACTAAAGTAGAAGGCAGAGCCAACACTGATAATAATAAAATAAGCAAAAAGTGGAAAAGTAAATATGCAAATTAATATTACTAGCAGGTCACACTTTTTTTAATTAGAAATAAAAGTTTTTTATGCCTGATAATTTGATTATTAAATAATTTTGAAAAAATTAGCATTAAGTATAAACGCTAAGTATAAACATAAGTGTAAATATTATAATTGAATCTAATTAATAAGGAGGTCACGCTTATACACAATTTTAAAAAATTATGTTTCAGTAAAAAGATCACTAAAAATTTAAATAATTTAAATGCTAATTTTATTAAAAAAACCAATCGCGAGTAAGAGTGGCGCAAAAGCCTCGTGCTAATGAGCGAAATCCTCCCTGAATATTTTTTTTTTGCAAAGATTATGATATCACAAAGTTTTTTAACTACTTCAGTAAAAAGCGCTTTTCCGCATCCAACAGGTCCTTTAAATTTCATGTTATCTTTTGCTGAACTCTGGATCTAAATTTTAAAGTGTAATTAAATTTTAGATAAAATTTTAAAAAAAAAATATAAAATGTTAACTTAAAATAATTTATTTCATTTAAAAATTAATAAATTTTAAATTAACTTTTTTTAAAAAGGAAATTAATAAAGTATTGCTAAAAATATTAATAGAGTAATAAATAATAAGAAATTTATAATAATACTGATAACCTGCAGTATACATTTAATCCGTTCGCCAGGAGCCAAAACAGGTGAAGTAAATAAACTAATTTTTGGAAATAGTGGGATCGGAATAAAAATTAATTAAAAAATATAAATTCACAATATTTTTTATTATAATTTTTTTATGTAAAGTAAGAAATAAACATTAAATAAATTACTACGAAAAATTATATTTAAAATTAAAGTTTAACAAAAGTAAAAGTTTTTATAATAATTAAAAAAAAGCAATGTCGATAATAACTAGAAATCACAGCGCAAAGAATATATAAAATTAAAAAAAATTAGCTCGTGGGAAAATTAAAGATGCGATGTTATTTTTTTAGGGCTCGACGTAAATCGACTAAATTAATGTGGTAAGAGCAGTTAACCATTTACACGTGTCGTATATATCAGATGCAATAATCTAAAACTAAAAAAAATGATAATAAAATTCAGATTAATAGTGAAGTAGAAGGATTTGTGGTAAACAAAGAAGATTGAATAACTAAGAATGGTTAGAAAGGAGAGATTATAATATAATTTTCTTATAAGAGTCGTGAATCTATAAAGGTAGAATTACTTCAAAAAAAAAAAAACATTAACGTAAAAATAATGCATGAAAAATTTTTTTATAAAAAACCGCAAGAGTTCTTGCAACAATCGCTTATTAGTTATAAATTTCTAACTCTCGGGTGCGCAAAAGAATCGTAAAGGCAACTTTTTTAATAAAAATTTTATAAACTTCGTAATAAAAGATAGAGTCATGAAAAAAACTCAAATATAGAAGATTTAAAAATTATGATGGCTTTTTATAATACAGAATTCTTTAAAAAAATTAAATTTTTTAATTAATTTAAAAAGTAGGTGGGAAAGTATATACCTAGTAAAAGCCCCGGCAAGACCAATCCTAACTACATTTTCTATATCGTTTAGATGCTTAAAATATATAAATACACATTTATTATAAATAACATACTTCAAATTATATAACAAGTTTTATATACTTTGTATGTGCCCTGCTCGCAAAAAAGTTGCTGTCCTAAAGAATAACCTAAACAAAATAATAAAGTAAACATGAATTACAGAATAAAATTAAAAAAATTAATAACCTAAAAAACATAAAGAGTAAACAGGAGTAATAACGCCTACAGGAGCTGCCATCCCCTTGAAAAGACCTTTTATGCCTTCTCTTTTAATAACTTTTTGAAAACAGTCAACAAAACCTGAAAAAAAAAAATCTAAAGAAAAATAAAATAACTAATAAATTATTATTGACCTGTATATGGAGGAGTAGAACCAGATTTTACTTCCATTGTTTGAATGCGAACTTTTATTGTATCTAAAGGATGTCCTGTAACAACTAGAGAAATGCCTCCAAATCCCCCTAATATTAGATCAATTATAAAATATAACTATTTACAAAAAAAGAACTAAAAAAAATTAATATATAATATAAAACCTGCTACGAAAGATTGAATTGGTTTTTGAGATAAGTTTTGTTCTTCCATTTTATAAAATAACTTTTATTTGTAACCACTTTAACGAAAGAAAATTTACATTAGTAGATAAGCCACATGAGAAGTCGCGTGATCAGAAAGTTTAAAATTTGAACTGACAAAATACGTACAAATACTCACATATTGGATATCAATACGTATAGATATTAGTAACCTTTTATTAGTACCATTACGTAGCAGGACACTTTAAAGATGCTTTCACCAACTTTATACTTACTAGTACAAGGGCAAAAACGTAATTAAATAATTTTGAACTAATTGTTAAATGCTTTTATTATCTTTATTTTTTATTAGCATCACCAGGGTTAAGGGTTAAAATAAAACAACTACAACCGGTTGGAAGATATAGCTTGTCTACTTCAAAATCATGCATATTATTCGAATAAAGCTTCTATAGTTAAAAATCAAAGTAGAGTACTAAGCGCTTATTTACGTTCATTATTGTTTTTTATATAGATAAAAAAAATTTACCAGCTTTCTTTGCATATATACATTTTTTTTATAATTTTTAACTGTTAAAAATATGTGTTCAATAATCGTTTACAATTAAAAGTGTAAAAAATAATGCCACTTAAATCCAAGCACATTTACGTAGAACGTATTAGAAGGTCAAAATTTTGATTTCAAGGAAAGCCTGTATGTCTTTTTAACCGTAAAGCTCATTAAGCGTTTACGCAACGTGTTGTTAAGTACTCTGTATGATTTTGCTTAAGGCCAGTGAAAATCACGACTCTTTAAGAGAAGCATAATTTTTTTTATACCTTTCTTTTGTTTGGTTTAGGAGAGAGATAGATATTATGCTATGCGTATTGACAGTAGTTTGTCACTATAAAACAAATATTATGTATTACGCATCTGTCACCTTACCCTGACAACCTCCGTATAAGTTTACAGGCGCAGTTTCCTTTGAGCGAAACTCTTAACTGCCTCTTGAATGCGAAATCGAACCTCATTTGCTTTCAATAAAAGGATGAATGTTTTACTCGATATAAAGAACATTCTAACAATTTAAAAACTAATGCATTGAACTCTTCTTTGCTTATTTCTCAACATATAAAAGATATTTAATAAAAAAAGGAGCACTGTAACAATTTTAGAAAATTTTCTAACATAATTATTTATATACGGAAGACATAAGAAGAAGAAAAGGCTAATAAGCATTGAAATATAAAAACATCGCCGACTTCATGCTTTGAAAGAGGACCCTGGAGGCCTTACATATTGTAAAGGAAGTTTACCCATCCAGGTCCCATAAGGGAGCAGATCCCAATTATAGCAGTTATAACGCCTGTATTATTGCTATAAGCGTGCCTCACTCGTTACTTTGTCTTAGTACTTTCAAGGGTTTTGCGCTTTTGTCGTTGGGCTAAAAAAGCAAGTTCAGTCTAGAGGGCTAGAAGATAAAACTAATCGTCTAAAGACATTTGAGTCCAAGTTAGTGAGATACCTATGCGTCTAAAGGATTACTAAGGAACTAGATTGTAAATAACTTATGCTAAAAGAATAAAATTTTTATATAAAATCGCACGATTTCAAGTCCCATTTGCGCGCTTTAGTTTTGCTGCATATTTTAACGGAAATGGAAGCTCTCTACGAACTCTCGTCGGACCATCTGTTAGTTCTTCTTAATTTGGGTGACGAAAAGGAGTTACTGTGGATACATACTAGAACTGGCTCATGAAATCTTCTGTCTTATTCAGCCCGTCCTACTTAACGTTGCTGTTGCTAAATACGAGGGCGCTTTGACCCTGGAGTACCATACCGGTCATACATGTGAATATGAGTTTCGCCCTAACCGCTTGCCCGATGAATTGAAGGCCTTCATCTGCGAGCGGCAACGTTTTATACTAGTGATCACGGGGTCACAACGCCTGAAGATAAAGTAGCACTTAATAGGCTACCCCGGTGCCTTAGGAAAGGTTGTTGGTGCGCCAAAACCGAGTGGGAGACAACGTCATATATTGAATCGAAGTTTATTGGAAATACAAAACGCAGCGCGTACCTACTATGGGAGACGGCAATTATGTAATGATATAATGCTGACAAAGCGATACTTTTGGCTAGTTACCTCGCCAATCAATATGCGCCACCTGCTTTTTAGTTGCCGATGAAGTACTTTTGGAATTAAACCCTTGCTGATGCCGAGGAACAGCTTGAGGCATTGTCAAAATCGTAGAAATTATCAACGCTTTACCGAGACAAAAGTCACCTGCCTCGATGGTATCAGCAACGTGATATTAAAGCAATTACCAATGGTAGCGGTAGAGGGCCAATGCTTCCTCACCAATCTTAAGACGGCCCTGGATACCCTTTTATTGCCTGGAAGACGGCAACTTTTGTGATGCTCCCTAAGCATCCACGCCAAGCAAATCCAGGCCTCTCAGCCTCTTATCAGCCGTTGACGCCACCCACGCTCTGCCGGAAGTACAGTTAGGAATTTAACAAGGACACTGCACGAATCAACAACTCCTTCTCTTGCCAGAGTAGGCGACCCTTAATTTAAAGAAGGTAACGGAAGCCGTTTTTCTTGATTTCGAAAAACGTTTGACCGAGTTTGGTACAAGGACTCGCTTCACAAATTGCGCACCATAGCCCTCCTACTATCCTTTTTAACGTGATCAAATCTTACCTTAAGGGTCGCGTCTTTAATATAAGTACGTGTGGCGTAACGCGCTTACCCCTAAGATCACTAAAAGCCGTAGTCCCATAAGGTCTCTTTCATCACCTTTACTCTTTGCGCTATATGTACGCGACGTGCCACAGCCTGACGACCCCTACACGCCGATTGCCTTATATGCAGATGACCCAGCGATTTACTCCAAGTCAAAGTCACCTTCTCTATTACACCAACATCTCCAGTACTACGTAGTGCCGCTTGCCAACTGGTGTCGCCCATGAAAAATTAATATTAATGTGGAAAAGAGCAAAGCCCTTTTTATCACAAAGAACAGCACTACACCACTACCGCCGCTAACTTTAAAAATAAGGTAATTCCTAGGTGTTCCTCAGGGGAAATACCTAAGGTTTATTATTGACAATAGGCTTTCGTGGCGTTCGTACGTTAACTAGATCACGGTGAAGGTTAAGGCGTCGGTTCAAACATTTTACCCTATACTTTGTGCCCGAAGCAAACTCTGCACAACAAAGGTTGCTTGTACTACCTAGGCCTACTAGCCCACCGGCAATAGTCTCTTCGCTTCAAATGAGCCAAACAAAGCCGCTACGCTTTGTGATGGGCGCGCCGTGGCGCCGTGATTTGCTCGCAGCGATGCCCTTTCCTCAAGACCTCCAGCTTTAACCTCTGGGTAACGTTTTTCGACGCAATGCTCTCGCTATCTGTAGTCGTCTCAAATCGCCACATCACTGACATATGAGACCAGTTACGAAACCTGGACAGTAGCACGCTATCGCCGACCTCGCAAGGGGTAAATATGCGCACTGGATTCTAAATATACATGGGTTGGGGGGTCGAATAATTTTAATGTAGATATGAGATTGTTTTAACACAAGCTTAAAGCTAATGTGTACGCTATCACCCTGTTGAGAGTTCGTAAATTTGCTGTTTTCTTTTACGATATGATCGTGCACCAGGAAATATCATTAGTAGGAAAAAAAAGGTTGCATGGGTCTTATTAAATCATTTTAGAATAATTACTGCTGCGCCACGGTTTTCGCACTATTCACAAAAATGAAGACCTTATATTTCAAATACATTTAAATACTAAGAATAGGCAGTTTAATGCTTTAAAGAGCGCTTAGAAAGTTAACATTTCTAATTACTATACACCGACTTAGTCCGTATATATAGTAGGTTTGGTTGGCTTGTAGCAATTTCTAATTCTTTTTAAAAAATTATATTAAGTTGATTTGACTACTTTTCTTTAGTAGAGTGGTTAACTACATGGAACTTGCTTATTGCTCTAACGTTAAAAAAAAACATACCTTTTTTACATAAATGAGCCCAAACTACGCAATAGATTAAATGAGTAACATACATACGGAGAGCCCCTTTCACATCAAAATGGAGCCTGCCTCAAATATAAGCTTATATTAATTGTAGGATTCATTTTTCTTTAGCAAAATAGGTAATCTATGATAGACGCTTAAACCAACATTTGTGTTTAAAGGCCCTATACAACTACAAAGAATACTGCGCTTCATAACTAAAATGACCAACTTCAGTCGAGATGTACGATTTGCAGTAATCTTTAATGTTGTTTGCAGCCTAAAAGTAACTTCTTAATTTACAGGTATATATCCCTGCTTTTGGAGACAAGAGCCCTACTTATTAGGGCAAAAGCTTCTCTGGGGTGGTCCTTCGAGCTTACTTTAAGAGTTTCACTCGGTTCAAAAGGTTATCGACTTCGGGGTGCTTACTCTTCTAATATTAGATGGACTAGAAGTAGCCGAACGGGTGTATACCTCTCACGGTACGAAAATAATAAATCAGCTGTTTTTTATAGTAATATGAACGTCTACCAAGTTCAGCTTGTTTTAGAACACAGTACTAAAATGGTGATAGTTATTCCAGTTAGTTTTTGGTATTATTTTTTTAAATGGATTCGCCTTTTACACAACTTAAAGGTTGGTAGATCAGCAAATTGATAATTTTTAAAAAAATTATAAGGACAAATGTCCCTGGGAGGCACTTAGTTAGTGGGGAGCTGGTAACAGTTTTAGTTATCAACCATGCATATAATTAAGTGCTAGTTTAAAAATCCTTATTTTTTTTCTCTATCACAAGCATTCCATAAATTTTTATATAATATAAAACAGTCGGAGGTTAAAAAAAAACTTAATATTTTCGATAAACTCACTGCCAAGACGTGCACAGCGAACGGAGTGCATTCTAAATCCTTAAAGAACTTGCATTGTTGCTTCCGGGTGGGTATTCCTCAAGGTATATTACATTTACTAACAAATATAAGCGGCTGATAAAACTGAGTGAGAGTTGTAATTACAAAAGAATATTGATTATAAGTTAAGTAAGTAACTTTAACATTTTTACTATAAACCCTTAATAAGTTTACAAGCAGGGGATATACTAAAATGTAAATAGATAACATGAACGTTGCCTTAACGTGTTATCTCTTTTTATAGTAAACTTCCTTCTACCCTCGGCCTCGCTAGTTCCTTAAAAATTTTTGAAAGGTTTTCAACTTTTATATTTGTATAACGTTACAAAATTAATAAAATATTAATAGAGTAAATAATTTCTTTTAGGATACCTATAATGGATTTTGGTTCTGGGACTTCTTCTCACAGTGACATAGCTGTAGATGTAAATCTTCAAGATGTTCGAGTTGAAGAATCGCCCAGCACCTCTCTTCAGCCAGAAACACAGAACTTTGATTCCATTTTTGAGTATGAAAACTATCGCAAAGAAATTTGGCCTTTCTTACCTGATGTACAAAATATTTGTGTTATACTTGGCAAACAGCTCAAGGTTTTTATAAAATTCTCAGAACATAATTCTTCCAAGAGCTTGGTGTCTGCGAGATGTATACCACTTAGATGGAGTTTACATATCTCTGTCTGATTGTAACCTGGTGGCCTCCTATACTGGTATTTTAATGAAATGAAAGTTTGTTTTTCTACCCATGTAAAAATTGGAAGGTCCCGGGAAAGATGATAAGGATGCTGCCTGTGTGAAAACTAAAAATTCTATATCGCCGTCTTGCGGTTAAGCCCAAAAAAATCATATTTTTTAGTTTTTAAGTAAACTAGAAATAATAGGAATTTACTACTATGAAGTTACCATCATAAGTAGTGGGCGGGATGGATTTATAGGGATCGGCTTATGTACTAAAGAGATGACGTACTCTTGCTTGCCGGGTGAATCTTTTTTCTGTTTTATAGTTAAAATTAGTAATAATTTAATTTTTTTAAACTTCTTTGTTATACAAATATATACTTTTTAGGTTGGGTCGAAGATTCTTTTGGCTATCACGGAGACGATGGCAACTGTTTTCAGAAATCCGGAAAGGGTTATATTTATAAATAATTAAAAGTACTTTTACTTCATTTTTCTTAATTTTAAAGTTTTTTTATATAATTTTTATTAATAACTTTAATTTTTTTGTAATCTTTCAAATTGTAATAATAGGCGCAGAGAAATTTAAATAGTTTACTATATTTTATTTAAATTAGTGATCAAATTTTTTTTTAAAAGAGCTTTTTTAATAGATTATTTTTTTCTTCGTTTAACTATTATGCGTTCATTTTTAACTTTTTCCTTGCATTTTTTTTCTTACAGTTATCAGTGCAAATTTACTTTTTAGGTTTTTATAAAAGTTAAGTGTAGTTCACATTTCTAAAAAAAAAGTTTAAATTATTATAAAATTTAATTACCTTTTTAAAGTTTTTTTTATTGTATTAAGTATTAATATACATTAGAATTTAAATTTAAATTTTACATGTATTTTGTAGTTTTTTAATTTCACCCTCGTTCATGATTTTTTTTCATGTGCGCCTTAAAAAAAGAAGGAAACAAATATGGTCCGAGTTTTGCAACTGGAGATGTGATTGGTTGCTGTTTGAATTTTATAGACCAAACGTGCTTTTTCACTAAAAATGGAGTCCACTTAGGTTGATTCTTTTCTTTTATATATACTTTCCGCCTTTTTCTTGATCTTTACTTTTCGAACTCTTTTGCACATTATTTTATGAAAATGAATTTTTTAATTATCTATTGTTTATGTTGATTTAAAGTTTATTATATAATTTAATTTATAAGTTAATATTATTATTTAGTATCAAGAAATTTGTGCACTGATTTTTTTTCTTAAAGTTCAGCTGTGCTTTCTGCAGTTCCACCAATAAAACTCTTTAGTAATTTTAAAAAAAAAGTTATTAAATTTAATTAATTTATTTTTTTTTACTTTTACTTTTGTAATGTGCTCTACTTAGTTTTTCAAAAGAAGCACATTATTTTTTAGTCGTAACGTTGAATTTAAATTTGATATTAAGATTCTCTAAAAAAAAGTGCACAGCTGCAACAATACCAAAGATATCATAAATAAGTGTTAGTACACGTGAGAAGTCAAACTTTTGAAGGTCACACGTGCTTTTTAAAATTAGCATAGCTGGATTTGTTTATATAATGAGTATTATTGTGTTTATTATTATGAAATATAATATATTCTTTTGTATTTACATTATTTCATACTTTAATCTTTTTATTTTTAATGAAACTCCATAATAGAATCCGTTTAAGCATTTTTTATCAATTTTCAAATTAGATTAATTACTTTCCCAAAAGAATATTTTTTATATTTTTTTTATGCTTTAGCTTTTTTTTTATACTCAGGCATTGCTTTTTCGAACATCTCATTTGATGAAAAACGTCCTTATTTTCCTTGCGTTGGCATGCGCACTCCCGGAGAAGTTGTGAAGGCGAACTTTGGTCAATACCGTTTTGTATTCGACTTTGCTTCTTATATTTTTGTATGACGGATATAAATATTAATATTGTTATTATTACTATTATTATTATATTCAAATAATATTATATTTTGAAAAAAAATAGTATTATTATAACTCCACTAAAAGAGAAAATTTAACAGAGATAACCATTAAGCTTTAAATATTTAACTGTACCCCGTTTTTTATTGGTGGTCTCAGTTTTATTTAATAATGCCACTGCATTTTTAATTGATGAAATAACATTGACTAGTGGTTCCGATTAAATTAATTGGTTTAAATTTTCTGTGGTTGCAAACTTTCGTATTACCACATTTACAAAGACTTTACCGCCAATCCATCATTTGTTGCTCAAATAAGCACCCCAACTGTCATTATTTCCCAGCTCACAGTTTAAAGCAAGTGATTGGTTGTAAATAAAAAGGAGAGGGGGCATGGCGACTAAGATTGTATGTAGACATATTTTTACTTCTGCTCAACGTTGTTATTTGTTTTAAAAAGCTTTCAACAGGCTACTCCTTACTTTTTCATGAACTTCGCTTTATTCCCGAAAAGTCTTGCTATCAAAATAACTTCTGATAGGAGGCTAAACGGAAACTTGCTGAGGAGATTGGTCAGCTTCCGCTCTCACGTTATATAAATATGCTCATTCCTTCTGATGCTCCTGGAGAATCACGCAAAAGCGAGCAAGAGCAGACCCCAGCTGACTTGGAGGATTCAACGCGTGTTAAAAAACGACGTGATGACCACGTGTTTGGCGAGGACAGTGAGGACGAGTTGCTGGGGAAGAAAGACTCGATAGAAACCAGCAAAACACACAGCAATGCTATTTGCGGAGGCGAAGAAGACGTTGAAAAGTCGAGGATCATAAAAACGTATGTACCCACGGAACAGCCAATTGGTTTTTTTAAGCTGTGTTTCCACTGAATTGGTTGTCTAAATTCCTTTATATCAAGAAGAACGACGCAAATGAAGATCCTTAACTCGTGGCCCTCTGCTCTTAACCATGTAGTTGCTTCCTATTTAGTTCATTACGGTTATGGCCAAACCGCCAGTGTTTTTACTAAAGAAGCTAATGTTCAGGTGCTTTATTGGGTATTATTATCATGACGTCGTATATATGATATAAAAGGTCAAAGAAAAAGCAGAATCTATGAAACAGCGAATGTTGATTAGTGATGCTATTTTGATTGGCGGTACGAAACTTTTGCTGCACATCTATATCTCTCTATTGATATTTATATTTAGATAAAAACTTTTCACCAATAGTATATCACTTTTGTTTAATATATATAAGTATACATTTACTTTTTACTACGAATGAAAACTACACGCGCTTATTATTTGTAATAATATTAGATATGGACAAAGTATTTGACTTGCTCGATAGTTTTTTCCCAGCCGTTTTGCCACGTTATCCCGCTCTTCATTTTCGTTTGAAAGTAAAATATTGTGTAGTATAACCTTTTTATTATAAATATAAAGTTTTAGTATCAGAAAGTAAAACATTTTAGTTACAATTATAAAATATTTTAGCTGTTTTTACTTTTTTTTTTTCTTCACTTTTTATATAATTTATTTCCGAAGTGCTTTAAGTTTTTATTCTTTTTGTATACATTTTCTTTCACTTACAGAACTTTATAAAAAAAATTTTTCTGTATACTTACTTTTTATTGGTTATCTATACCAAAAAATTATAATATTCTTTACATAACTTTCTACGAAAGCTACTATTTTTTATTAAGTTATAAATGATGTAATTTTCTCTAGTGCGCTGTTATTATAGAAAAACTTTTTTGCTAAAAAAATTATTAACTTAAAAAAATTAATGAATTTTCGCATTTTTTTCATGATGTACAATCGAACTTATTATTATCCAATATAAATTTAGAATTTTTTGCATTGAATCAAATGAGCTCCAATTATCTGTGACGGACTCGCAACCAATAAAAAAATTTTTATAATTGTTGCGTGTACATACCCATATAAGTGACACTTCGATTAATTATAAATATGTTGATATTTCGCGCGCATGCTTACGAAGCCTAAATGAATATATAAATACTTGTTGGGTGCAGTGCGAAGTATTTATTAAAAAAAAAATTCTGATTTTCTCTCTCTTCCACTTTTTTATTAATAATACCACGTGAAGAAAGAGTTTAGCATAAACAATACAACAAATTCATTAATTTTCTTGCCATAATTTTATTAATATCTCTACAACTTTTACTTCTATGTTCTAATTGGCTTCTTCTTTTAACTGGTTTAAAGTATTCTTACCTTTTTTTTAATGAATATTTTTTAGCTGCAAAAGTTTATAGAAATGGTTGCAGCGGGGAGCGCAAATACAGAAAGTGTAAATATTTTTTTACATATACTTGTATTAAAGTTCTTATATGTTATCTTTTTTGCTTTGTATACATACTTTTTTTCTACTTATTACTTATAATATAAAAGTTTTATGCACACAAATATAGGAAAATAAATATTTTTTATAATATGGAGTTAAGGTGCTTCTTTTTGTGTATGAAAAGTTATGACTTTATTTATCCTTTAGTAAATACTTTTTTTTGCAAATTATTTATTTATAAGAATTTTGATATATTTTTTTCTTATATATATTACTTATTTTTTTTCCGACTCTTTTTTTATGTTTAATATATTCATATTATTATTATTTTTATAAATCCACTATTCGTTTTATTATAATAACGATAGTTCAACTATTCTTATTTATCTTTTTATTATTTTTTTAAAAGGGAAGCTTATCGAGTGTGTTTGAGTACGGCCGCGAACTAAAACTTGCCTGCGACACGAAGTTCAACAATGAAAAGAACACTAGTTTACTGGAGGCGCTTCATTTTTTTTTAATAGTTTTAAATGCACCAGTCAACTTTTTATAAATAAGAGTTTTTTGTAAAATGTCATAATAAATAGTGAATTTTTTTTACTATTTTCTGCTTGTAATATTAATATGTAAACCTTTTTGCGATAATTCAGGAAGCCTTCAGTTTATTAGCGGACAAAGACCCGTATGAAGGGCCGGCGGCCAGACTACTTTCCCTGCAATATAAGGAAGTTTTGGCGGACGACACGTGCTGCTGCATACTGGGTTTTTGATTGCTCTCTTTAAACCTTTAATTTTCCTTTTTTTTTTGTTATATATAATATTTATATTAAGCTTTGCGTTGTCGAAAACTTTTAAAAGTTATAAATCTTTTACTTTTTTTTACTAAAACTATCAATATTGAGCATTACTAATTCTAAAAATATTGATAAAACTTTACAAAATAAGATTCTTATATAAAAAATACACAACACAAAAAAAGTATATATATATAAGATACTGAATTCTTTAAAATTATTGTAATATTTACAAACGAATACATTGTGTTTTTTTTATGACACCCCTTAGTTTTAAAAAAAATTCTAATAATTAATAGAATCCCAAAATCTTCCAGCCCGTCCGGCTTTGGAGTCGATCGTCCGCCAACTCAAAGTAAATATTATGCATATTTTAGTAGACGAAAATAATGAAAATATCCAAAAATAGCGATAAAAAAATTCACTATTTTTATTATTATTGTTGTTGTGAGTTTTATTAGGAAATACATTTTTCTATTGTTATATAAATTTTATTATTATTTTTTCTATCTTATAAGTTTTGTTAATATATGCGATTTTATTATCGTAATATTCCATTTTTTTCTTTCAGAACTTTATTAATAAAATTTTTTAGTTACTTACAATATAATATTATATTTTACTTTTCCATCAAACTTCAAAATAAAACAAAACTAAATTAAAAAAAATCGTTATTTAGCAATTCCATAAATCTAGTTTCTTAAAAAAAATATCAGAAAAAATTTACGACTTTTAATAATTATTTTTTTTTAATAAGTACGAATTTTATTTATATTCCGTTTAAAAAATATACTTATAAATTTTGAATTACTTTTTTGTTTAAGTGGTTGAAATGGTTATAAAGTTTTTTTTAAATTATTGTTCATCATTATTTATATTTATATACACATTTTATAATGAATAAAAAATTCTTTTAAGCTTTTATTATTATAAATATTAATTTTTGTAGGGTTATGTTTTTTTATTACTTTTATTATTTTCAGTAAATTTTTTTATTTTTTATTTTGTTGTTGCAAATATATAATAGATTTGCTTGGATCAAATGCGAGCAAATAAGGTGCCTTCAGGCTCTTTATTTGTTCTTTCGGATTTTATATAAGTTTCCAAAAAAAATATAAATCTCATTAATGTAATAAACAGGATGCCTCTTTTTTTATAAACATATGAATAGTGCCGATCTTACAGAGTAATTCTTTATATTACCTAAAGTAAAGTTAAGAATCAAGAAATATATTAAAAGTTAGCTAAAGCCCACAAGGATTGAGAAAATTCTAATGTGACACTTGATCTGCACAAATAGCATAATGCACACAAACTAATAAAATTCATCACAACGAGCACACCTTCTCGAACATATTTTTATTAACTTGCTTTGTGCTGTTAACTAATCAGCCCTTAACTACATATAACAGTAAAAAAAGCTATAAATTATACAACAAACAAGTAATAACTAGATCTCTATTAAAATTAGAAAATTAATAATAAAAATAACCATTGTTAAGTTTAGTTTGTTTAACTCAACACTTAGCAGCTTAAGATTTAATAAAAGTATTTCCCTGACGTTTCTAACATTGATAAATATTTTAAATTTCTGGTGTACAGTTAAAAGACGTACGCGCATCTTGTGACAACTATAGCCCATAGGTATATTTAAGAATCCCTTTCATTTTATGGTTCCTAGTGTCTTTGGTTCTCGGGTGTAGGCGAAAGTAAATAAGTAAAAATACTGTTCATTTGTACCTACTTTTACACCATGGGCGTAAGCGCTATAGTTTATAAAACTTCGAGTACCGAAGGCAAGATTAAGAGTTGGCACAAAAGCCAATTTGCCACCCGCCAAAAATAGTGGTCGTTAACCTTTAACAACAGAAAACCCATTATTTATGTATTAGGTCCTAACAAACCCTTTTCATTTTAACTTTCAGTCATTTGATTTCCAATGTAGCAGTAAATTTACAAAAATAGCTAGACCCAATAAAGAGCAGTCAAATTGTTATTCTGTTAGATTTCCAAGTTCAAAGTGAACGCCTACTCTCTGGGGTATAAAACATATCTGTAGGTCCCCGTACACAACACCCCTAGCACTAAACTTGAATAACATACCGACGGAGACGCTAGCGCCAAGTGTTGTAGCCCATTTAGTTCTTTAAGGAATTTAGCCTTTCAATGAAAAAACTCTGTGGGCTTAAAAGAGATTTATTTTACGTTCATTGGTAAAACTAAATTTACCATTTTTTTTTATCTGTCTTGCTAGTTGCTGCCTAATCCGTCAGAGCATGGTACTCAAACTCACCAGAGATTGTTTTAGAGAGTGAGCCTGTCTTTTAAGGTCCATAAACCTACTCTCGCATATTGAACCTAGGCGTCAAGTGGTAAACATAGTAACCAACCATAATCCGCCTTTTTTGATTAAACTTCCCTTGCATGGGATTACTGATTTTTTAAACTTATTAAAGGAGTACGAAAGTAACAAAATAAGTTGGGGTATATGTTAAAAAATGCTTAATTCCACAAGAAATTAAATTATGTATGAAATAGGGATATCACCCCAGTTTTGAACTTTGTTATGACTACGTTAAGCTAGCAAAAGGGATTGAGCATTCAGCGTTCAAAGTATTTATACAATATAACACAATAACTTAGTATACACGGCATTCAAGGCAATTTAAATTAAAATTTTGTTACGTTATAAGTACGAAATTCAACTATTTTTAAACATGGACAATACTGTTAACGAAAAGAGCACATGGAGAAGGATACAAATAAGGCGAGCTGACCAGTTTCAACACTGGATAAAACTATTCAAATTTATACTCATTGAACCTAAAATACAGAATCTATCTTTCCCTAACGAAAAAATTAAAGAGGTGAGATACTCTCTTATCTGAAAAATTTTTACCAACGGCTAAAGGATTTCGAATTATACTTGTAATTATACACTTCTGAACTCTTAATCCAAATAGCTGATTTAAACTTTGAATATCCTGAACTCACTATTCAAGCGACGAGAAGTTTTCGAGACCCAACCACCAATAACCTTCGCGAGGATGCTAAAGGAACTCTGTCTGACAAAACGACAAGAAAACGAAAATGTACAACAGTATGCCAACCGACCCGAATACTTAGGGTGTTTTGTCCTACAATTCTGCATTGAGAACGAAGTAAAAAGAGCTTTACAGGAATTGGTAGAATTACTAAAAGCACTTGCTATCGTCTTACGCAGTGGGGAACTACACCGCTTACTGAATGCTATTACCGAAGAACACTTTCTAACAACTCACATACGAATAATACTCAAAAAGTTCTCAAGTTAGAAGAGCAGAAATCGACAATACTTTATTACTCCAAACATCATTTCTCAGTTATTAACCTCTTTCTACAACAATCAAAAAACTCCTATTCAAAAAATAAACAAAAAAGCTTATTTGTATCAGATGTACAGAGCTACATCTTACACGTAAACGCTCCAACATTAATTCGATATTCACCACCTATTGTCAAATAAAAGGACACACGGAAAAATCTTGCGTACGAAATTGCAAACACTTAAACACACAACTCAACCACTATATGGAAAATCTGCATTATGAAGAAAAAATACAGTAAACCGGCCGAATTAATACTTGATACAGAGGCTTAACCGCACTACATCAATGACGAAAGCCTTATAAACAATGTAAAATACGAAAAAAAACTAAATTAGTTAAATAAATGGTTACTTTAACTCTTACAACAGTGGTTCTTTATTACTCGAAGGGAGGTCATATGCAACCCATAATTCAAACAGAACCGTTGGAAAATTAGTTGAAAACGGATATTCTATAACTTTGCAACAACCAAGCCAATATATCAAAAAAATAACAAGATTTTGTATAAAGCTGAAAAAAGAGAAGGATTATACGAAATTAACCTCGCAAACTCACAAAAATATGTAGCTCTTAAAACATCTAACACTACTAACGTCACCAATTGAGCACTTAATATACGGGCATAAACTATAATAAACCAAATCTTTTCGCACATGCAACCCTTTACAAAAGAACAATGCAAAATATGCATGAAAAGCAAAAATGAAAAAAAGAAAAACAATTAGACTTAGCACCACACATACAAACAGAAAACCGGGCCAACTATTACACTTCCTCACATTAGACTGGGCCACACATTCATACGAAGGCTACAAAGACGTTATTGTCGGCACAGATGCACGATCTAAGCACATTACTACAAATTTTTTAACAAAAACAAAAGTGACAAAAGTTAACTTAATAAGATGGCTAAAAATCATAAATATTTTAGAAAATTAAAAATCATTAAAACTACACAACCGAACTAACTGAAGAAATTAGGCCAGATAAAGGAACCGAATTCCTAAACGAAGGTTAAAAAATAAAATCAGTAACGAAGGCGTCCTACTTCGAAAAGTGCCAAAGCTACACTCCAGTACATTCTAAGTGAGAGAAGCATCCAAACTCTTAGCAACCTTACTCGATGCATTCTGAAACATTCTAAACTGCCAACTAAATATTGGGGCGAAGCAAAGCGTGATGCCCTTTTTAAAATAGTCTTCTGAAAGGCAAAGAAGAGACAACACCTAATAAAATTTATGGGTTAAAAATACAGAGATTTAAGATTTTACAGACCACTCGGTTGCAAAGTGACTACAATACAATACATACAAAGAAAATCGGATGACAGAGTGTTTGGAAGTGTATTACTTTTAAAACCTGTAGACTCTCCTGATGACGAATACATAGAACTAAATAAACGTACAAACCAGATACTTAGATCGAGGGAATTAACCTCCTTCGTAAACATCTTTTCCTATAATTCCCAAAATAATGAGAACCAAATTACAAGTACTACTCACGGGATGACTAATACAGAAACACAATCTTATCCAAAAAAACCTATCATAATAAATGAGCCAATAATACATTCAAGTAGAATACAAGACAATATATACTCAACACCCCAGAAAGAAGAAGTGGAAAACAACAGAACAATGCCGTTATACCTTCAATAAACCATGAAATACCAAAAACGGGTTACAAAATACACCATACTACGAGACTATTCCTGTTTAAAAACTCAACGAATTAAACACTTCATAAAAGCATAAAACAATCAATGAAGCAAATTGTATAGAAAAAAAGCACATAGATGATAAACTGACAGATGAAAACAAAAAAGATATTATAAATGACCATGAAGGAGTTAAAGATAACTCATCTAAACCTTTGGGACGTAACGTAAAGTACAATTTTCGACCACGGAGAAAAAATGCGCAGCGTCGTATAATATACACGTACACTATAAAACATAATAACCCAACACATTTATACAGTTATCTGATGACGCACGCAATCGGAAACCAATCCTAATACACAACCCCCTAATAAAAACAAATCCAAGAATGATATGTAATTCCCAAAATAATATGCGAAACAATTTACAAACAAAATCTGACACAATTAAAAATATATTCAACGACACAGAAACAAACAAAACATAACCAAAAAAATTATACATGTACATACAAAATAAAACAGAACACTGGAGGCAAACAACGAAGAAAAATGGATGGAGGGTTTCGATACCTTTATTGTTATTGAAAATTCTGAGAAAAGGAGTAACGATGCAAAACATTGGAGAGCTATAGAAGATGTAAATCTTTACGTTTCATACACGATGCGCAACTAGCCATAGCTTGTCAAACCTTTAATGAAGCCAAAAATGCAAACGGCAAGGCTTCTACATGCGAGCTGCCAAAAACGAACTGTTATCCATAACACATCATAAGGTTTTACCGTTATACCATTTGAAAACATACCACAATAGAAACCATTCTAACAACAATCTGGAGAATTACCATGAAAAGGAATAATTTCTGCAAGGCCCGTCTCACGGCAAGGGGATACCAACAAACGAAAGGTATAGATTGTGATACTTACTCACCTGTTTTCTCAAAGGACTCTTTCGCTTACTGATGTTTATAGCAAATCTTCAACAACTGTCTTTCAAAAAAGCGGATATTATTACTGCTTTTCATCATACAAAACTCAAAAAAGTCAGTGTATGTTCACATACACCAAGGCCTCTACCTA